GAATATGGAAAAAAATCAAGTAGGAATAAATGTTTTTATTATTTTATATATTAGCAAATTAAATAACAATTTTCTTAAAAATTATAATAATATAAAAACAAAATATAATAAATTGAAAATTAAATACAATTATATTTTTTCTCAAAATATTAGAAATAAAGTTATATAGTTTGTTATATAGAGATTGAAATCTGGGATTATTATAAAAGATAAATAATTCGAAATCAAAAATATTTGTTAATAAATTATTGAAAATAATCCAGATTAAAGAGTTTTATTTAACAAAAACTTTTTGATAAAATATTTCATTAATAGGCTATCTCAAAATTGTTTTGAAATAACAATCTAGACAATAGATATATAACAAAGTTTTATTTCTATTAAAAAACTTATTTTATTTGTATAAATTAATTGATATATATAAAAGACTTTGGTTCTTGGAATAATTAACAAGAATAATAATATTATAATATATATAGTAATATAATATAAAAGATAGAATTGTAGATAGAATAATCAATCTCGTTATTAAAGCTTGATACTTTTTAAAAAAGAGTTTTTGGATTGTTTAGAGATAGAAAGCTTTTGAATAAATTCAGATAGTAATATTTATTGTTTTTTTGTATTCTGTTTATAAGATATATAAATATAAATAATCTTTTTGAAAAAAGAAAAAAACAGATTCTTATTTCTAATAAGACATTTTGCTTTTTTAGTCTCTATAATTATTTTATATTAAAAATTATTCAAATTGGAATAATGATTATAGAGATATAAATAATTATTTATTTAATTAAAGGTAGTGGTTCTGTGTTTGAGCAGAAATTATACAAGCACTAAAAAATAGGGTTTTGGAAAGATGTTATTAAATCGGGTGTAAGTGAACCAGCTGTTGGCCGCTAGTGTTCTTTGCTCGGTAGTCTCAGGTATTATATGGCCGGCTGAACCGGGTTCGGAATTCGGTTATGCTCAATGACTTTAAGTAAAGTACCCAAGCCGGGTCGCGGCATGGACTAATACCTGGTTAGGGATGGGACATCACAGTTGCAAAGTGTCATGATTGAAGTCATCTACCCTCTTTATCACCCTACCTGAGAGCTTGCTTTCTGTTCACAATATTATCAATTCTAATTTGGTTGTCAGACATCGAATCAGAACATTTTCCAAAAACATTATTGCAATCATAGACTAGCTTCAGATCCCACCTATTGTTCGTAGTTCTCATCAAATAGTGATTTCGCCAGTGTTTCATTGTGATGAAGCTGAGGTGAAACCATCCTTCATAATAGCATATTCACCATGACCAGGAATCTTCAATGAATGATTTCTCGCTTTGTTTGCTATATTCATCCAATCTCTGCACACTACATCCTGCGCCCTACATTCTACATTGTGCTCCAGACTTGTCCACCCAGTTGCAGAAACCACATTCCCATTGGGTGTTCGATTCTAAGATGTGATAGCATTTTGTGGTAAGGACTTAATTTCATAACTGTTGAAAGATTCCTAGAAAATAAAGACCATTCTATGTATTGGGGTGTACTTTGAATAAAAGACATAAAGTCTCCAAGTATGCTTCCCACAAGTCAAATGCTAAGTTGGGTGATAAATGTAGAATCTCTCATTATTTTTCTTGCTTCATCGGGGATGTATGTACTGTCGAAGGCATAGACGGCAGAAAGGGTAGAGAACTGTGGTGGCTAACTCCCTTAAACAGATCGACCGACACATTTCCGTACTCTACATCAGCTTGTTAATTTATCAGGTGGAAAACAAGCATTCCTCCAAGTGCAGCTCTGCTCTGTGAACAGCCTAGGCGAGCTCAGGACTCTGTCTTTTCGACACCTTGATAATCTGACTAGACAAGAACAACTTGAACGAAGAGAAAATTGTTGATTAGAAGTCCGTTTGTACCGCTCAAGTATGCTTTCCATCTCTCAACGTCAATCCACCAACACCGATCTAATTGAAAGTTCTACGTCCATGTTCTGCTGTTGGGTTATCAAATTCGATCCATAAAGCCTCATCTTAGACGGTGATTGATGTGGCTTCTGGATTGACTGTAAAACCTCTGATTTCAAATAGATTTGTATATAGGCTTGTCTTGTATCGGTTGATTATAATCCGCTGGTACAATGGAAACCATCTGCAACAGCTAACTCAACTCCAAATCATATAGCATAAAGAATAGTTTTCGATATATCTGATGCTGTAGCGGGAAACTATATCAATGACTCTCACATCTATCTTCAGTTAACAAGATGTGCAATATGAAATTATTATAATGATTGAAATACGGATTCCAGATTAGTTATGCAGCATGATCTTTGAGATCAATGAGTCAGTATAATGTATCAGTATTCAGTCCTTTGCTTCCCTAAACTCCCGACAGTGGGATCTTGTCAAGATCATTCGACAACTCAGACAGTCTTGATGTTGGAAACTGTAACTTGAAGAGATGAAAAGACCCAGAAGAAAGAAAGATGTGATGGATGATATTGATAAGGTGACCTGCAAAGGTGCTAGAATAGAGAAAGAATGCAGAGATGATGTAAGAAATATTATGAATAAGAGAGAAAGGAAATGATAATAAGTTTATCGAAACAAACGTCAAAATTAAGCAATATATATACAAGTATTTGCTAATATATATATATGAGTGTTTTATAACTAACTAACTTGATATATCAATGACAATAATATAACAAAATAGGATATTATATTAATTTTTTTATCTAAGAAATCCATGTAATTACAGTAACAGTATAGTATGGTAAGGTACAGTAGAACCAATTATACAAGACTAATTAAAGATGAGGGGCTACAAGTTCCATCGACATTGGTGAATATCTGGGGCTTAGTGTCTATGTACTAACTGATCTACCTACCTCAGGCTTCTTTTTGTAGTCTAGACAGATTTAGACTCCGATCATCCACTTAACCATTAAAAAAAAATTCCGATCACACAACAACTTCTTCCCTTTTAATTCTGTTCACAACAAAACATCAGGAATACAATCCAACAGAACAAAGTCATTTTTCATTATTTCAAAACAGAAATATTTGATCGGAATGAGTTTCGATTACACATCCAATGAGGTCTTCGGACTCAACTTCAAGCAGCATGATGCAAGAAGTATTCGCCATATTTTGAAGCACTATGGAACATTACCAGAAAATCATGGTGATCGAATTGCACTATTTCTTTGCTTACAGACTCTAGAGAAGGACCTTGATCTAGAGGAATGCGACAAAATCAAGGAATGGCTGAACAACGGTGGTGAGCTTCCACCCAGACGACCTGCAAGTCCCGTGATCGCATACGCGGAAGAGTCTGGTAAAGAGCTTCAGGAAGGAGAATATGGAGAAGATGGAGAAGAAAGTGATGATGATGAGGAAACAGAATCGGAAAACACTGAGGATCAGGATAGTGGTTCGGAAAATTACGATGAAAACGGATGGCGTAAGACACCAGGTGAGGTCTGGTATGGCTTTGACTTAGATCCTACCCACCCAGATAACCCAGAACGTCGCAATCACCTACTCGACTACGAATCACCATCGCCTGAGCCTGAAGATCCCGATACACAAGATGACGAGGATGATGAAGATGATGAAGATGGTGGGGATGACGGGGATGATGAGGCTAGTGAGGTTGACGAGGTTGATGAAATTGATGAGGCTAATGAGGCTAACGAGGCTAATGAGATTGATGAGATTGATGAGGTTGATGAGGTTGATGAGGTTGGTAAGGTTGGTAAGGCTGATGAGGCTGATGAGGCTGATGAGTCTGATGAGTCTGGTGATGAGGGTGATGAGGGTGATGAGGGTGATGAGGTTGATGAGGTTGGTGAGCTCAATGAGGATGATGAGATTGATGGAGATGATCCACTCGAGTTTGCCTCGGATGTTGGATTTACGCCTAGAGTCCACGTGGAATGTGCCATATGTGCGGAGATGGTTCCGGGATCTAAGACCTGGGGACGCATCACAAAAGATTGCGAGCACCCAGATGTGTGGCGTACGTGCAGGGCATGCCTCAACACATCTATTACTGAAGCTATGGAGAATGGATTATTGAATGGCGTCAAGTGCCCTCTATGTCCCGCTGTACTCACTTACCACAACATTTTGACCAAAGCTTCTGCGAAAGTATTTAAACGGTAAGTGACTTACATTCGTTCCCTTGCATTTTGGGCGTTGACTGCTAAAATTCGAAATAGTTATGCGTACTTGCATGAAAGGGCTTCGAGACCAGATAATTTCATCATGTGCCTAGGTCTTCATTGCGGTGCAGGTCAGATCCACGAAGGTCCAGAGCCATTGATGATTTGTAACCAATGCAAATTCAAGACTTGCGTCAAACATAAGCTACCATGGCACGAAGGACAGTCGTGCGATGATTTCGATGTCGATGACTCACAAATCGAGCGTTTGGAGCAGGAAGAGGCCACAGCAAAGTTGTTGGCGCATGACTCCAGAATCTGCCCGCAATGCCAAGAGTGTGTCTATAGAGACGAAGGTTGTGAGCACATGCTATGTATGTATACATCTATCTCTCCACTCAGCACCAATGCTAATGTTTAATTCTTAGGTCGCTGTGGAAAATCATGGTGTTACCTTTGCGGCGCCGACTGGGAAAACATCCTTCGGCTTGGTAATACAGGCCATGGCAGACACTGTCCTCATCGCCCCGACTCTAAAAAGCTCAATATTTACCAGATCGCAGCCCGCGAGACCCAACTCACACAGCTGGTACACGGTGGACCTGTTTCCGAGCGTCTGAGCCAAGCCAGAGACGCGAAGAACGCAGCAAGAAGAGCCGAAATGATACCTTTGGCATTAGCCGCTGCAGAACAGAGGAAGAGTGAACAGGCGTTGGAAAATTCATTATCGGGGTGAGCATTACCTGAACCAATACTCCATTCCCCAGTTTCCACTTCTACATCTTCTTTATATCGTGATGCAAATTCTTTTCCTCAAACAGAAGAGCCTTCATTCATAGATAATTACTGACCTCCTCAAAGTTCTAGTACACCTGAACGTCCAAGAAAGAAGGTAAAATTAGTCCCTGCATGGTCGGAAACTTAGACATACAGCAGACTCGGAGTTATCCTCAAAGGCTGGCGTTACTTTCTATGAAAATCATTGGTCTAGGGGTGGGATACGTACAACACAGGATCTTGTGATGGATTGTCGTGGCATATGAGGGCGTTCCTATGATTTCTTTCGCATAGCATGGGATAAGGAATAATACCATACATCAGGAAGGAAGTCTTGTCATACCCATATAAAGTGGTCTTAATAGGATAGCATACAGAGAATAGCAAATGAATTTCTTTTTCTTTAACGCATTGTGCTTTTCTATATGCTTCTGATAAGTGAAGTTCCCTGAGAATATTGTAGGCATTTACTGTATGTGTCGAATTTATATTTGCTGTAAGTGTTAATTTGATTATATTTATAGTCAAATAACATAATGATGATAATATGATTTACCGGTATTGAAATTTATCTACTCGGTAGCTGGTTTTGTTTTGGGGTTGAGGCTTGGATTTGTATTGGGGTTGGGGGTCTTGTGGGTTTCGTTTGTATGAATTAGTATTACTGTATTTAGAATCTGCTTCGGCGGAACGTTTATGGTTTAGATTCATGTTGTAAAATTTTGACTTATACTTTGCCTCTTCGAATGGTATATACATAGTAATAACAATATAATTTGAAAACGCTCTTTTCTCCTAAATTCAGTTCAACTGAGCCGACTGAAAGGTGCCTTTACATTGAATAGGATACAACATTTCCCTATGCCCAACGCTTCTTATCTCAAATTCTCTAACATTTGAAGCATCTTATTATTCCGATGATCTTCAAATATTCAATTTATATCCTGAAATGACAGGTCATAATAATACCACCCAATTATATCTCCATCTAGTATCCAGTTGGTTCGAAACATATCTCTGGCGCCTGCCAACCAACATTTATCAGGTCATTCTCTAACCAAAAATTCCACACATCCATCCACCGCATCATTGCAGTGGGGAAAAATGTATGCTTCTCTTTTATCTCGATGCCATTGCTTGATTTGGAGCTATCTTTAGATCTATGCATATTTGTGTTAAGATAAATATGCTTTAGATTTGGTAGTTGGTGGAGAAACGAGAGTCTGCGAAAACCACCATGCTTTCCAACCGACAAGTGAGTTCCGAAGCGCTGGTATCTGAGCTGATACATGTCGTTGAAAGCAGACAATTCGATACGTAGAGCATCAGCACATACCGCGAGATGCTTGATGCTTTCAGGCTTAGATATCTGTAACAGGCTCAGACTATCCATCCGCAAGATATCTTTCTCCGGGCGGAAATGGAATTTGGCCGGCGGACCAGGCTGCATGTTGTGCTCGTCGTACTGAGAGGGTGGGTACAAAGCTAGGAGAACAAAGTCGCCATCTTTAGTCTTCCATTTTCCACCAGCTTGTAGGAAAGCTTCGGTGGATGCTATACCTTCAGGGATGGGATATAACAGAGATGGGCCATATGCATCTAATATCTTGAAGTGTACTGATATAACCCGTGGTTCACTTAGTGCCGCTGCCTGGTATAATATCTCCCATTGAAGTTCTGTGGGGAGAAGATGGAAGTTTGGGAATTTTGACAAGCAGTCTGAACCCGAGAGTCCTTCCAATTGAGTCGAGTCGGTTGTCGGTGATTGAGTCCTTGAGGAGTCGATGCTCAAGTTCTGATCGCATGAGGATAGAGACATAGTGTATATTTGCTTTCTGAGGTACACGAATACAAGAGTTGATTTGACTTGACTTTCGGATCAGAATTTACAAAATTAAAAAGGACACGAAGTGTTTTGTGTTCCCTTAAATAGATTGTCTTTCGCTAAAGATTGACTAGAAGTTGACTAAAATGGTGTCCATGTGATACCTCTAAAACTCTAAATTACCTAGCTACCTAGGTACTTTCAAATTTGAATCTTTCAAATCGTGACAACTTATCGTTGATTACAATATTCTTTCTCTGATTAATGTTCTACCTACCACAACATAACCTTTCCAAAAATTGTACATTATGGAATATCCTCCAACAGACCTAGACACTAACTCGAGGCGAACAAGTCGATATCCCAACCAAATGCTTTCCTGCCACTATGCTTGCGAATTATACAACTGACATCCACCTCGAGAGACATTCGATTATTAGGGCGCAACTTAAGATAAAAGGAATCACTATGGAAGACCGCAGATGTCATGCTGGATGTGCGACATCACTCAGAGTACTTTTGAATCTGTCCGAAGGCCACTTTAAGTGAACAAGTGGAGTGGAACTTGAAAGCGCATGCTTGAGAAACACCTCTGCGTACTACTTCCAACGTACGAATCTTGCATAAAGCTTCTCAAAGGGCTTTCTTTAGCTAACATGCCTGAGCTAACATCCAGTGCTTATTCTAGGGAGAAAAGTCAATATTCCACCCAAAAGCTCGATTGAGATGCCTCCCAATATATCTGGCAGTCTCGAAACGTAACTTTCCGGGATGAGGCTGATGGAATTAGATGCTCCTGTTCAAATTACTGTTCTTTCGAGGGTTAAAGTGCCATATGCTACCATAAATCGGCTCTACCGTCAGTCCTCCTGCGGCCATTGCTTGTAGGAAGCCTTGCCAAGCAATATCTCCAGGTGGATCGTTCTCTGAAGGGGTGTAAAACAAGGCTTTCAAGACACACACAATACGCCCGCTTATTTACCTCGATCACTTCTCGGGACGCTTCAATCTCTCTTGCCTCCGGTTTTTCTTCCGCTATAGTTGAAGATTCTGGCGGCAATTGCTCCCTCCTAATTTTGGTCTTGCCCATTGAAGACATTGCATTGAGGGACTGGACACCCTTTGCGTCATCGATTTGCACATGTTCGAAAGCACTAAATACATCCTTGTCGATCAGTGTGTGCTGTTTGCCGGACCGCTTTACTTCAGGAGGCGGCTCGGTCCATCTTGTTGTTCGAACCAGCTGTAAGAGATCGTGAAGGATATCAACCAGAGTAGCCTGTCCGCAGGCATTTAGATGAAACTGATTGATGTGACCCCAGATATTGTCAAGTGCTTTCTCTCTCCGCCTGTCGCATGCGTTCAATACTTACACGATTGGGTCGTCTCCTTGTGGGGTTGTTGATTATAGAATCAAGGACTCAGTCCGTATCCAGAAGGACTGTCAAAGAGAAACAAGGAATCAAGATTAATTATATGAGGAAAGTGAAGAATATAAGAATCATGGAACCTTCAAACGAATTAAGGCATTGGAGAGTACAATATGAAAGGACCGAGTATGCTTGAAGAGACTGGGTGTATTAATAAGCTTTCTAAGCTTCGAGATCTCATTTGCTGGCACGCCTTCAAGCGTAACTATGATCTCGTCGATGAGCTTCCCTTTAGAATCTGTGATGGCTCTCGTGACACCATGGTCGTCTTTCAGTTGCTGATCCACTTTCGATGCCCAAGGTTGATAGAGGTACAGCTCCCGAGTTATTTGAGCCACAATTTCAAGATCTGACAGTATTGCTGATACTGCGTTGGAGATTCGATCCCTATCAGATGGAGTTGAGAGTAATGTCGTTCGAGCTCATCAAACATGTCGGGTAGCGAGCGACATAGAATAATCGTATTCCGACTCAGCTCAAGTAAGAGCGAGAACAGAAAATCATTTGCTTCTGCTTTGAGGTTTATGGCTGTGGATATACCGCCCTTCTGGCTAGAAAACGACACGTTACGCTGGAACGCCTGTGAGAGTATAATTTCAGGTCTTGAAGTCCATCTTCTTATATGATCGCTAATCCTGCTCAAACTGTACCAAAAATACATAAGATCCTTTCAGTATTCACAAGGTAGCTGTTTTTCTGAATTAATGTCCCCGAATACTTCTCTTCCAGCTTCTTCAAGTTTCGAAAGTCTTCTTGTAAACTATTCCAAAAAGATAACGCCTCGTATGCATTTAAGATGACATTCAACAGTCTTGCGTAATGAATTGGATCTTCTCTCAAAGACCATATATGATCCTCCGCAGCAGCTTTCCTTGCATCGAGAAGGGCTTCAATCATTTCGAAGTCCAACCGACCCGGTGGCTTATAAGGAGTCTCCGTTGCTGCGAATATTGGATTAAGCCGTTGCGAAGGGGTTGCAGAAATCGGCTCCGGCTTGGGAAGGATTCGGAAATGATGCTTTTCCTCGAAAATCGGAATGTCATGAAGAATTAATCCACAAGTATAGTAAGGGTGATAATCTGTGCCTTCAGAATCAGTGCTGCTTGTCCGGATGCAAATACTAGACCAGATACAAGTGCTTCGGTTGATACTTTCCCCTTCAACCCTGACTGGTTCTCGACCAACTCTACGTGCTCCCCTAAATCTGGATTCTTGAACAGCACAGCACATTCCCATGGCAGCACGCCATCAAGAACCTTTTCCTCTGGAATTTGAAACGTATTCAATCCAATGTGCATGGCGTAAATGTCGATATGCTAAAACAGGTGTGGTGGATGACGATCTCTCGATTCATAAAAAGAGGCAACAACATGCCCTGTATTAGGACCTCCAAATTAATATAGGATGTTGCGCTAGCTTGTGAACATACTCGAAACGCCCTTATATTTTCATAAGTCTAGATCGTACGAAGCGGGTCAAGTTCTGGCGCATGGTGTTGGGATTTCCGGATAAGCCTTCAATAGAATCGCCTTGCGTTTCCTCCATCGCTTGCGTATCACGGCTTTGTAGACGTTGATCATTTGTCGAAGCCCTCTCCACATCGTTTCGGCTCTCTTCGCATTTGCGGTCAACTCTATGATCTATTCAATTTTTCGTATTCTTAGAATGTACGGATCGATAGTGATGGCAGTCTTTCGCGTGCGGGCGGCGAATTCCCCGTCTGACTTCTGATGTGAGAGGCCATTTCTTTTCGTTATGTTGAGATTATTGACTATGAATATTCAAATTGGATATGTGACTCGAGATTGAACACTGAAAGATCTGTAGTTCTTAAAAAGTCAAGTAAGTACTTATTGCAGACTCTGAAACAGGATACCAAAATATATACCGGAAGTGTGAAACAGAACATTATGGAAATGAAATCAGAAGATGTGAGCAGATTTGCAAAGTAGCAATGTGCAAAGCTGAGTAAAGAAGACTCTTGATAAAGATAGTGGATGTTGTAAATTGTAATATACCTATCCCCAGTTTTTAAAAATCAAACAACATCCGATGGAAGTCTATCGGAATTGATGGAATAAACAGAACTGCACCGTGACCTGTGCTCGGCTAGCATCGCATGGTGCAAAGACAGACATGCTGGATTGTTCATGGTAAATGATGGCTGCTGATGTAGTGAATAAGAATCTTACAATAAAGACACATCATCGGAGATGAAAGGGTCTGTTTGTGCTTAGTTCTTCACATGAATACAAGCTCTATTCCTACTCCTATCCTAAACAAATGAAGAGAAGATGGAAATGAGAAACGAGTCACGTGATCTCGCCAATTTTGGTACCCCACCCCCTATCTCATATTTTTCTTTGCTTTTCTTTCTGAGTATTTGAGAATCTCAATAAAAAAATTGGTGGTTAATTGATGTTGTGTTGTATTGAACTGAGTTTTTGGTTTTATTTACATATATATATATATGTATTCAGACTTTGAAAAAAAATTGAGAGAGCGTCCAAGTTTAGTTAGTATCGTATATCTATAGTTTTCTTAATTTCTGTATTTGTATTTGTAAGTTAGTATTTACTGTTTAGATTATAGATAATAGATTTTTACTGTGTTATAATGCCAGTGATGCCAGTGATGCCAGTAATGCAAAGAGTAGATACGTGAAACATAAGGATGAGTAGACTGGGTTTTATAAATCAGTAAATAGTATATTCTTTTAGTATATAGGAAGAAGTATATTATATAATTAATGTATTTATTTATTGATCTGGAGTTTAATGAATATTATAGTAGATAATTTGTCATTGTATTGTGTTTTATTTTGTTTTCTTTTTTGTTTTGTTGAGTTATTACTACTAGTTGTTCACACTATCAC